TCTTACTTCAGCGTGGCTTGATATTCTACCCCAGTTTTGTATTAATTCAACTGTTCATTGCCTACCTAATGGTCTGTGTTCAAGAAACGCATACTTTCTCTCCACTGACACCTCCCGATAGTTACTTCTATACCACCCAAACATTTCCTGCAATGCATTGCAAACATGCATCCATTTATAGGGCCCTACACATGCCGTCCTTCAGACAAAAGGCACCATACAATACAAAAGCAGTGAATGTATTTTCAACGGGCTGAAACCAAGATAGCTGTAAAGCAGTGAGATCAGAAAAGGGACTCCCAACCGGTGACGATAGTGCAAAGAAGTTGCTGGTTAAAAACACACCTATTTATGTGCTATGTCTACATACAGCTTTTTGTGTAGGATGGTAAGTCTAACTGTGTTCAAATGTGTTTATTTTACACGATATGCTTCTGTTTATGTGATAAATGTTTCTATTTCTGTGAAATCTTTTCTATACTATTTCCCAATTCCATACGGTTTGTTGTTTCCTTAGTGCTAAATCACCTCCTGCTTGGCCAAGCCTCTCTAACAAGAAATGAAGCAGAGGGACTCTGATGGGGCTGGGACCGATAGTGGGGAGAGAAAAGGATTCAAAACCTGCTGTCATCAAGAGAGAGTACGACTGCGGTAGCCACTCCAGTTCTTGAAATTGTAAGCAAAAAAAACATACCAGGAAAGCCAAGCCTAAAACTTCAGACACGAACCATTTCCCCGTTGATGAAGACCCCACACAGAGGCCACGCACTCGCAGGTGCTTGCTGTAACTGGCAGGCACGGAGCACACCTGCAGTGCTGTGCTCTGGTTTCGCACACTTGGCCCAGGGCTCCTTGCTAGCGTACTGGTAAGCTTGTATGACACGTGTGGCAGATAATACATAATATCTGCTAATTATGACAAAATATGTTTAATCATCATAGGAAAATGACTGGGTAAAAGTGCTGCCTTTGTTTCTCACTACATCTCCGTTTTCAGTTGGCATCATTTACATCATCTACTACTACACGCTCCTCTTGCCAGCGCGGAGACAATACGGTGAAGAGCATAAGCTCTTCTATTTTGGATTCTATTTTGGCTCATCCACAATCAACCCATTTTCTATTCTAGAACTATTTATTTCCAGTGATGATTCATGAGCCAGAAAGAGTACCGCTTGCCTATCAGATGCCAAGGAGAACTTACAGGAATGGCAATTAGAGTGTTTTTATTGTGGCGAGTGCCGTTGATATGGAGCCTAGAGAAATAACTGAAACGCAGCCTTTCAGTGCTATTTTTACAGTTGTTTTATAACTGCGCTTCAAGGTTTTTCATCTAGTTGATGAAAACAGAAGGCAGATGAAAGCAGGAAAAAACCCAACAACCCACCTTGCCAAGTTTATGCCTAGACGGTAGACATGCCTTACTTTTGTGGTTTTGCTTTTCCTATTTTGTCTCATATTATGCTAAATGATGTATTAAATATTCTAGTGCTTAAAAGAAAAAAAAATGTTGGAAAAGATGATCTGGTGATCTTTATGCAAGGCATCAGACATATCTACAATCATCTGACAATAAGTCATGTATTTTGCACATATGTGTGCACTATGAATAGTCCTCTCGATTTCAGTGCAATCAGTGAAAGTATGAGAAATTAATCACGCACGAGCCTGAGTGTTGGTACTCTGCAAGTCATTTTACATACGCATTTATTTGTACACCACCTAAGGACTCAAGACCCTAGAAACAATGAAAATAAACAAATAAGTGAAGCTATTGAGCTTTTAGCATTTATTCAAGTTCCATCAGGTTTAGCAGAAGCTTTTCCTATGCTTACTGAGCTTACATTTTTGGTCAGCAAAGCTTTCATGCTTTTCTAGCTTCTACAACACAATATGATGGCTTTACATGAGGAGTTCTTAACTGAGATATTCTTAACCAATTCATTTTATAAAATGAACTTTAAAAAAACCCATTACAAATCTTTCAACTTAGCTTCACGGAAATGCCAACTTTTAAATACTTTTAAAAACTAGTGACCTCAGATTGTTCCTATTTGGCTTTTTTTTCTGATGCTAAATCATTCTATAGCTTCAAACTTCTGCATGATTTTCTGACCAGACATATGTTGGAGATGGAGTGATACTTTTTCCTTGGAAACACATTGCTCAGAAGGGGTTACTTCATTTTCTTTCCCACCTTTTCTAGAAAAAAAAAATGTCACCTTTGAACTGAAATATAAACCAGAAAATGTCAAGTAATTTTGTTTCAGAAAAATATGTGTAACTGAAAAAGGCACACATGGGTTTCTAAAATGGAATTAAGCATCCAAACCTACAAAGATACAGTATTATTTTAGTCTGCAGTCTTTAGTGAGATGATTGACTCACATATTTAAGCGGCACCATGCTTTTTCCTTGTTCACACGAAAAACAGTGAGAGAAAACCAATTCTGTTAAAAAATACCGTAAAGACTATCTGAATACATCTTGTTGCAACTGGCTGAAGATTTCATTACCCAGGTTTGGGGAGGCATATCCTAGAAGATCAGGTAACCATGACTGGGTTAGCTGCACCTTTTTGCTTGTAGTGTCAAATATGTACGGAAGTCATCTGGCACCCTTCTTCCACGTGTTTGTTTCATCGCTCTGCTGGCGAATGCCCAGTTCCACCCCAGCCACGCAGTCCTGCAGCAGCCACGTGCGGCCCAGGAGGCACATGGCGGCGTCTCAGAGCAGGGCTGGGACACGGCCTGTGTCCGACACACCAAGGAGGAGCTTGTTCTGTTAATCGAAATCACTTCTCTGGGCACCACATGACCAAAACGAACAAGGCTTCTGTTCATTTAGCATCTGCAACTACTCCTGTTTGGCAACAGTGACGTAGAACTAACTTTAATTTGAAAGGTACAGTATTACAAAATGGCAAAAACGGTATTAAAGAGTCAGGAAAAAACCGTCATCTTTAACCTTATAAATTCACACCTTACTTTTCACGGGTAAGAAATCCTTCGTTTCGTTCGCAAGAGCAGTGAATGCAGAAGCAGTTCCCAGGAGCTGCGTGGTGGAAACCTCCCCAAGACGCCGAACCCCTGCGGCCAGGAGGGCGGGAATCGCCTCAGGAACCGCCCCGCCCCAGAAGCCCCACGGCCAAGACCACCCTCCAGGCGCTCCCCCTCGCCCTTGAAGGTCGGTATTGCCCAGAAGCACCTACAAATCATCCCACTGCTCTCCTTCGAAACCCACCTTTAAATGTCTTTGTCATGCTGACAACAAAAAAACAACCCACGAGCTCCCGCGGGCGGGAGGGCGGTTAGGCCGCTTAGGCCGCTCCCTGCTCTGCGCCCCCCGCCCGGCAGCTCCCTCGGGGGGGGCTGCTCTTGTCCCGATGCGATCGGTGACCGCCAGACCGCGGGCAGCAACCCCCGGCGGCCGGGCGGGGGGTGCCGCTACCCCC